AGTAACTGTTAACGTTATCCATCATCCATCGTCTTGATCAGTCAGGATCAGTTTTTTATTAGTTATTTATTTTGTGTGTTGAACAACCAGACTGTGATGTTACACTGTGTTGGAATAAATTAATTAAAAGTTCAGTCTCTTTGTTGGTTGTTTTTTTCCATTATTGTTTAGGAGGTGGCTGTTCAAATATATATATTTAAATCAACAAATTAATCATAAATGTGTGACGACTAGTCGACTATTAGCTTTATCTAACGACTGCTAGTCCACCAGGACAATCTTCAGTCGGGGGCAGCCCTACAAATATAAGTTAGTACCTTTTATTTGTACAGATAAATGTGCTATATTGTGATACGTATCATTTACTTACTGGGATATAAAACGTGGCCATATAGCACAGCCTTAGGCATCTATGTGTGTATAATATGTAACTGCACCATCCTGTTTGTTATGTAATCCCTCTCTCTTCTACCTGACTGTATCTGCTATCAATGCTGTCAAAATGCCAAATATCTTACAACCAGGCCTTGTAAAGTTCTGGTGATAAAAATTCCTTCCCTATGTGTGGGTATGTATGTGTGTGCGTGTGTGTGTGTGTGTGTGTGTGTGTGTGAACAATAACACACCCTGAACACACCCTCGGTCGATCAGCGTAGAGGAAGAACGCTGCTGGAACATGTTGAAGAGATTAGAAAAGAACAAACTGCTGAAAAACAGGAGTTGTAAAGCTTTTCCAGAGTCGCATTCACAATCTTACACCATTTATTATTCAGTGAAGGTACAGTCGGACTCTTTCTGCTCCGAACAATGCAGAGTTAAACAGGTTTATTGGCCAGACAATAAAAACAAAAAGCCTTTTAAAAGCAGTCAGATTGTTCGGGCTGCTCACAGGTGCGGGCTCTGACCACAAACACGGAGAGAGTGGTTGCTGACGGAGGCCGACTGAACCAACAGGTCCAGTAAGCTGTGAGTTATAGCTGTCAGGAGGGCTTTTCCTTAATAACATTAGCAATCGCCAGCTTCCCCTAGACAGGAAGGGTGTGTCGGGGGAAACAACATAACAAAGAGCGGATGAATGGAAGGATGAAGGAGAGAAAGGGCTGATCACTAAACGGGAGCCTGACTGACAATCTGAGGAGGAAGGGGGCCGGAGTGAGGCCTTGGAAACTTGTATCAGATAGCAGGCTCAGTGGAGGAGAGACGGTGCTACTGCAGATATAATGAATGTGTTTACATGAACATCCAAGACAAGAGCTCATAATCCAGTTAGTGTGTGTGCGATCAGTGCTGCAGGCTTTACAGTGGATGAGCGAGTGAGGGCTGGAAACCGTTCAATACCGATATACAGATGTTTCTGAACGATCCGTTTTAAAAAGAAAAAGAAAATTACATTACACATTACAGTATGATTAAAAACGAAGGCTGTTCACAGACCTGGGAGCAGCTGGAGGAACTAAATAACTGCACTAAAATGAAGGAACTGATGGAATATTTATAGTTTTTTACTTTCTTTTTATCTGACTTGTAAGATTTTTGTTTAGCAGTATTTTATTTAAGCTGCACCCTCTTTAAAAATGCTAGTAGAGGGAGTTTTGGTTTGGTTTGTCGCTGTGAAATTACACATTTCTCCAATAAAGTGTGTCTGATTCTGAAAAGAACATTAATAAACAGTAAAGCAACAATACGCCATCGTAGCCTTTCGTCTGCCTAACCCAAAGAAGAAGGAGGGAATAACTGTGTGGCTGCAGGTCAGTCATCCCCACGGTGGTGAGGAGTGGCGAGCTGAAACAGATCAGCTGCCTCGACTGCGTGCTGGTTGGCACACTGAAGTCATTTGATCAGACTGACTTCAAATTTGGCCACTAATTTCTAAAGAAGTTCAAAAGTTATCAAAACTTTGTGTCGAAAATGAGCATTGCGCCATAAAAAGGGACTCTGAACACTAACCTGAGAGTACACTCTCTGGAAACAGAAAGTAAACCTGGAGTTGTAGCCAGTTTTGTCCTATATGTGTGTGTTTAGTGTAAATATAGTTGTTATGTCACCTGAGGGCACCAGAAGGTAACCGGTCACATACCTGAGCCGTCACAGGTGGGCCGACTGTGCTTGCAGCTTTAATTCAGTGTTTGTATGTTGTTGGTATTTAAGGCCTCAGTATATATAGAGAGCATGTATCAGTGCATTATGTACAGTGTGAAGCATCGACAAGAGTATCTGAGGTCTTATACAATGTCATATATTGTTGTTTTATGCTGTAAATCTCCTCATACAGGCGGATTTATCAGCTCTTTTTCTCGCTGTGTTTTCGTTTAATGTCTGAGGTCACACCTCCTCCATCAGGAAGCTGCTTATGGGCGGTTCACCCACCGACCTATTGGTTCGTGCAGTTACACTTACTGTTTGCAGATTGTGTCCAACCTCACTGGTCTGTAAATGGACATTTTTGCTGACTTTATTACACTGATGGCTTAAAGCTTCTCTTTTCAGTCAATAAACCAGAAGATATTCACCTGTGAGCGTTGGGATCTTGTCTGTTTCTCTTCATCTTCCAATCAGACCTCGCAAACCATAAAAATCTGTTAGTATCTCAAATACTTGGAGACTATTAACGGACATAAAAACACATTCAATCCGCGTCACCACTCCCCATTCTATACCCATCTGCTCTAATCAATCCGGCTGGGGTGGAGAGGGAAACTATGCTCTGCGTGCACTCGTGTACAGACCAGTAATCAATATCAATATCCTACAGATATTCAAAACAACTGCTCCCACGAGCACTAATCTCACGTCAACAAATGGGCATTCTAGCCGCATGTCGGGGGGGCTTACGCTGCTCGACAAACCGGGCGGCACTGTGTTATTCTTTCATTGTATAAGTGGTTCATGTGCAAAGCGTCCTATAAGAACAGAGAGAAAGAATGTAAAAACCTGGCTCGGCTTAAGAAGACTGAAAGGATTATTCTCATTTCTTCCAGTCTGGTGTTTGTTTTCCTGCTTTTTGCCAATACGACGATTGAGTTAAGTTTTGTCTCATGTTGTTGTCCAGGACACATAAAGGTCTAATATCTGACCCCAAAGAGGATCTGAAGAGACATCATGGCGTTCATTGCCATCAGGTCACACTGGAAACAAAAGCCTGCTCGGTTTATCTTTACAATCCCCTTTATAGTTTATTAATATGAGATATATAAAACAATAATATATCAGCTAACAGTTATTCTCTATATACAGACACAGAGTCACATGGTGTCTCTCTCCCTCTGCCTGTGTTGTATCGCAGCCTCTCTGTGGTTTGTTTCCATAGCCG